TGAATTTAACTCTTGAATAACCAAGTTCTATGTTTAAATGTAAAATCAGTGGTGTAATAAATATGTATGTTTGTTGTTACTATTATAACCTAAGGTCACAAATATCATAATGAGTGGTTAATTATTTAATACTTATTTTATATTTTATTCTTATTTCATCTTGTTCCTTGCGAAAAAAAGAATGAGCTGGACTTTGTGTTTTATGGTTACTAATTTATTATAATCATTATTTTAAGTTTATTATTCTAATATTTAGATTTTACTTTAACATATTATATTGCAATGTAAAGTACCATTTTACTACATATTTCTATCTTACTTTACATATTTTATTTTGTACAGTTTATCTTATTTTTTATTCTCCCACCTTTAAAACGCCCTTTATCGTACACGTTTCCATGACACTAAGTGACCTTTTAAATACACATTGACAATTTGTGGCTTTATGGCGCATTAGTCACGGGCTGAAGTTAGCAACAGGTTTTTCGTCACAGGCTGAAGTTAGTTTTAAGTTAGTTGACAGTTGTCAAATGTCATACAATCGTTAAAATAAAGTGCCTTTCTTGTAAAATAATACTAAATTTGAAAATTATTTTATTATCTCAATACAAAAATACAAAAGTATTCAATAGTTTCTCAACGCCAATATTTGAAAAGTTTTTATGAACATTGTATATAACTTAAATTCGGACACGGACTCCACTGTAAAGTGCTCATAAAACATTTTCTTTACTTTCACTGTGAAAAACTGTCAATTTTCAAGAAATACATTTCGATTTATAACCTTTATAAAGTATATACAAATTTGACATTTGACGGTGACACACAGATTCCCCTATTGTTTCATAGATGGCGCTCTATACAAATTTTTTATTTACATCATTTTAATTTTTTTTAAGTATTTGTCGTATAAAAAGTAAAGTATGCACCTCGTTTATAAACTTTTCTATAGACTCATAAATTTAAATTCGTGTATAAAATGGCGTTTATCAAACTTGATACAAAATATACTATTATTTATTTAATAAATGAATATTCATTATTTAATATGTTGAGACTTTGTTTCAATTTCTGCACAACAAATACGTGTTAATAATTTTATTTAGCTATATTTGATTTGCACTGACATATTTTTATTATACCTGATTGCATTTGTTGTTTATGACTGTACAATTAAATTGAATTACCGTTGTCCACTACTGTAGCACTTGTGTTTTATATATTTTATTAAATAAATTTTTCTTACTACCTCGACGAAAATACGTTGTGTTGTCCCCGATTTCACGGCAGAAAGTTTACGTTTCTTGCATTGGTCAAGCTATACGCGCACACTCTATAATAGCGGTAGTAAAAATTTTTTAGTCGTGTGTTCAACATATGCAACTCTGATTACGACACTAATATAACCTCAAAATTTGTTTTCAATTATTATTTTCAGTCGAGGTAGTAAGAAAAATAGTATACACTACACGGGCAGAAAGTGTGAGAGCCCTGCACTGCGCGCCATGATGCAGGAATCTCACACTTTCTGCCCTTGTAGTGTAATATACTATTACCACTACCATTTATTATTGTTGTGTGTGACCTAAGTTATATTATACTTTATGTTTCACATTGTTGTTTTTTGTTGCTGTACATCGATAATTATATCAATTTGTGTTTGGTTTTCCACACAATCTTAGCAATATGATAATATAATTGGTTATTCTTATATTGATTACATTGATTTTGTTGTATTATTTATATTTTTGAAATGTGCGACATATATGCATGTCTGGATTGTATTTGTGTTCTTAAGGTTTTACATGTTCTTTTTTTATATTATTAATGTACAGTAGCAATATTTCTGACTGTTATATTGACTAAAATGACGTTTATTAAACTTAATACTATTAAAGAAGATTTTAGATTTTTATTTACAGGTTTTTTTAATAATCTTAATAAAAGTAGTTATAAAATAAATATTACTTTTTTATGGTTCAGATGTTTTAATGTGCCCAATAAAAAACCGATTAAGTAAAAAATCAAGTACTAACCTAGCATATTTATTGAAGAATTTTTTTTCTATATCGAGCGACGTTATAATGGAATAAAAAACCTTTGCCGCCACAGCGCCTCAAAAGGAATTTGTAAAATCTCATTTCCGTTACCTCGCACCTCATCCGGGAATCGCTTCAATTTTCCGGTGTCATCGGACACTTTTTGAAAGCCTCAGCAATTTACGCGGTTGTCATACTAATAAAAAAAATCTATACTAAAGGTTTTCCAAACAAGAACGCGGTCATTAAAACTTAACTTTAACAATTTGTGTTTATATTACCAGCAATTAGCCGAATTAAATGGTTTACTGTTTCAATTAAGTGTGAAACGAATTGCAAGACGTAGGTACTTAATTGTATTATTTATCTAAATGCTGAATTTAAATCAATTGTTTTCATTCTTTCATTCGCCCAGTTTTCTTTCGGTTTCACCTCCGCTTTTTGCCGAACAAATTGTCAGAAATTCCCTTTAGTATACCAAAAGAATAGAAATACGAACGGTAATAGATTTGACAAAATTTATGTTCCTGCTAACAAGAGAAGAAAAATAAATTTCACGCTGCTATTTGCCATAATTTCTGGCTCATTTATTTTTACCATGGTCTGCGATTTAAATAAGTTACAAACGAAAAAAAGAAATAAAGGATTTTTATCTAATAAAGTCTGGATTCAGCTCTAACAAAAAAAAGTGGGTTATTACGACAAGAAATTCTTCGTTTTATTGATGTAAAAATAATGTTGACCAAAGCTTATAAAAATGAATTTAAAAGATAAATTCAGTGGCAAAAAACGATTTAAGAAAGTGAATTATTATTATTTTAAATTTTATAACTTAAATGTAGGTTACTAGAATTAATACAGGATTTTGCTTTTAGAAGAAATATTGTTTAACATAATATGATGATAAAATTATTTTTAACAATTTTTTATTTTGTTGTTAATTTTTTGTATACTTTTTTTTGTTTTTACTGTTTTAACGGATTTTTATTGAGTTAACTATTTTTCATAATTTTTTTTAATTTGACAAAATCTCGTTCAAAGCACAATTTTTTGTTGTTATTTTTGGTATCATTATTAATACAAATTTGTTTTACAAAATATTGTTGGTTTATTAAATTGTTACAGTTACGCATTCTTCTTGTTGTTAAAATATTTCATAAAATAAATTTTATATTTTATTGTATCCAATGGGCTGGCTGGCTGTGATCAAATACTATTTGTATTACTTTTAAATTTTGGATTTTCTATTTTTTTATGTCAACAGATTGTTTATAACAACCTGAAAAATTGACTTCATTAAATTTTGAACAATGACAGATTACGTGGTAAACATAGATACGGTCAACTCACCCGTCACAGGTTTTTTGATACAAAATAATAATTTTAGAAATTGTTAAATATCTCTTAAATTATTAACTTAAAGTATAGAAAATATCGAAATCGGAAAATAGTGAAATCAATCAAAAGGTTTTTAATTTACTATTACAACCGCCGACGGTGGACTAGTGGTTAGAGGAACGCCTAAATGCAGGAATGGGCTCCATCTTAATATAATTTTTGCGTAAAATAAAACAAACCAAATCAAACCAAACCCAACCAACCCAACCCCCCGTAACCGCCCTATTGAAGCCTAACCACCCTATTGAAGACGAATATTCCATCGTGCATTGCCCTTTATCTCGAACTTTGTTACCGATGGAATAATCGTCTTCAATAGGGTGGTTAGGCTTCGATAGGGCGGTTACGGGGGGTTGGGTTGGTTGGGTTTGGTTTGATTTGGTTTTATTTTACGCAAAATTTATATTCAGATGGAGCCCATTCCTGCATTTAGGCGTTCCTGTGGTTAGTGCTGCTGACTACAAGCCGAGAGGTTGTGGGTTCGAATCTCACCAGGGGTATGGCTGTTTATTTGTGTTTGTCTTATTGTATATTAGTACTTCGGAGGGGACTTTCAGCCCACGGTCCGTTCCTACTCCTAACCCGCTCAATCCATTGCCATTGGGACTTCTTAGGAAGTAAGGGTGGAACTAAAAGAGCACTTTTGTATATAAACTTGGTATATTACACTGGGGTCATTCCACGTTACTCGGGGATTTTTGTCCCGCCCGTCACAATTAAAAATTGTGAGTAAAAACTACACGTTATAAAATTTATTTAAAAATATTGTTTTATTATGCTTTTAATAAGTTATAAGCACAATAAAAATAATATTATAAAATATTAATTTTATAACTTGTGGTTTTTACTCACAATTTTTAATTGTGACGGGCGGGACAAAAATTACCGAGTAACGTGGAATGCCCCACTGGTCTAAAAATTAAAGAAAAAAATGACTGAAGAAAAGGGATGATGTTTTTTAGGTAATTCAGGTGCGCAGAATTTAAATTTACCACCAAAATTGTGTTCAGGTCTAGTTCTCTGTATGCCGCATGGTGGCGATACTGTAAAGTAATTTGATGAAAACCGACATTTCTCTATCTCTATAATAATAGTGAATAAGTGGGTCAAGTAGCGTGTTTCCTTCTTCAAAATAAACTGCGCACCACTCAATGTGTTGCGACCAAAAATTTTGTCCTTTTTCAAAACAACATAACTTTTTTGTTTCTTAACGATTTTATTTTGGTCTGTAATGTCTACTAGCCCCATCCTCTGGCAATTTATGCTATAGATATGAAGCTCACGGTTCTTCAAGTAAATGTTGTACAGGGTTAAGCCTGAATTATAGATTGCCTTCCTTCCTTCCTCCCGTAGAAGATGAACAATCTGAAAATCATAGTGCCATTTATAGATTTCCGTACGGGACAACAGGTTTTTGTATTGTTCATCTTCTAGGGGAGGAAGGAAGGAAGTCGTTTTGAAAAAGAACGAACTTTTTGGTCGCGTCACATTGAGTGGTGCGCAGTTTAGATCAAAATCATTACATTTAATTTTTTATAGAAAAGGCATAAAAAATCGAATACTTTACCTTGTGGATGCAACAGGTGCAACGGGCCAGGACCTCCTTGACCTCAGTATCAGCGCAGTCCTCATCCCACCGCTGGTGCCCATTTGGGGCGCCGACGTCCTTTTTCTGGACCTCCTCGTTCCCCACAAGTGATAACCTGGATGCGGTCCTTGCTCCGAGCAAGACCTATTTCCGCGCACACTCAGCATGTGTTCCCTACGTCTGTGGTCCTGCTCCAGGCGAGCCTGTATCTCTTTTTGAACCTCGAGTTTTGTCGAGCACATTTTGTCACTAGATAATGGGGTTGGAGGTCAGTTTTTTGTGAAAAAATGTTCCACGATTGCTCTTAGATTTTGTTCGATTTTTTAGGTAGTAATGAAGAATTTGAAGTGGAAGAGCAGTGAACTACCTAGTGTAGGGTACTGAACTTCGCCTTTTGTTTGTAATATGTTTTATACAATCAATAAAGACATTATTATTATTATTATTATTATTATTATTATTTATTATTAACCGAAATCAAGTGTTTATATACAGCCCGTTCAGAGTAAAACCGAATAACCGAATAACAGTAGCTTGTGTTATAAACGACATGACGAAAGGTTGAGCAGGTAAGACGACCTTGAAAATTAAATGATAATAATGCAAAAAATTTCATTAACATTCGCTTAGCTACTGTGTCGCGCGTTGGAGGGAGGAGAGGCCACGCCCCATACGTTTCCCTATATTCGGTTTTACTCTGAACGGGCTGTATGACACGAGAGAGTTAGGACTTTTAATTTATTAATGTTTCATACACAGTAAAAATATATTTGATAATCTTAACTAAGTATTAACCAGATTTTTTGTTATTCCAGGTCTACATAACTGTGTGTTAAGTTTACAACCAACTGTAATCTGTTAACTTATTGTGAATTTAATAGATCCTATGTCAATATTTCAACCTTATTTTTACAAAACTTTTTGTATACCCAGTAACAAATAATTTGTTGTAAATTGTAAAGTTAAATGAAAAGAATTTTGATAGGAAATGTTGCTTTTTTAATAAATTTCCTAAAGAAAAAATTAACACACTTTCTTAAATGAAAACAAACACACCATTCTGAAATCATCAAATTGTAAACAAATTTGGTACAATATATTTATCAGTACTAATACGAAAAATTTTTTTGTATTTGAACGCTGTATTCGAATATTTTTTAAATTTTTTATCCGTTATTCGTATCCGTAACCTTATCTAATGTATTTGGTATTCGATTCCATTTTTCCAGTATTTGAATACCTGAATAGTATTCGAATACAAAAAGTTATTGAATTGAATACAATTAGCAAAGTGACGAATACAATCTTTTCAAGCGTAACGTTCACTTTGGCAGTTCTTGTTCATTGTGATGTTGATTGGGATATTTTTTATGGTTGGTAAACGATTTTTTGCGATTTGTGTGTTCAAATGGAAATTGAGGTATGCATATTTTAAAGTATAATAATTATTATAATTATAATCAAGAAATTAGACTTAAATAAGACTTATTTGGGTTGTTTTCTGTATTTTACGTGATATTTCATGTAATTCCTTAGTTTTGATAAAAGATAACGCTACAGCCGCTTTTTATATATTACACAAGTTAAAACCAAAAAAATTTATACAATCCTTTAATCCTTTAATTTTAATTTATAAATAGATAATTATAAAATTTCACAAAAAAATCCCTTGTCAATTTAAAATATTGTTGCTTAACAAATATATTTAATGCTTTCAAAAAATCCAAATTTTTAAACATAAAAGTATTTTGGTTTTAGAAACATTTAAAAATCTGTAACCCGGAGCCAAAAGGTAAGGCAAGTCCAAAAACCTGATTGTCAAAGGAGGAATTTAAAACGCGGCATTTTTACTATTGTATTGTATTGTATTTCTATAAAAATCAAGCGACAATTTTGCCTTCAACATTTTTATTTTTAGAAATATTTGTTGATTTGAACGCGCCCTGTAGAAAAGACGATGCCATCTATTATCAAAATAGTATACTTGTGAGAAATGTGTCCAACATAAAAATTACGAATAAATTAAGCTGACGCTGAAGTCAGTTAAACTTGTTGATCCGTATTGTCAGTGGGAAATGTTTTGATTGACTGAAATCACGAGTAATTTTTTAACGAAATAATTTTTTAAACTTTAACAAATTAATCTGTAACCTTTGAAATTAACGAAATGCTGGTTTTCTACAATTTTTAAACATAAAAGTATTTTGGTTTTAGAAACATTTACAAATCTGTAACCCGGAGCCAAAAAGTAAGGCAAGTCCAAAAACCTGATTGTCAAAGGAGGAATTTAAAACGCGGCATTTTTACTATTGTATTGTATTGTATTTCTATAAAAATCAAGCGACAATTTTGCCTTCAACATTTTTATTTTTAGAAATATTTGTTGATTTGAACGCGCCCTGTAGAAAAGACGATGCCATCTATTATCAAAATAGTATACTTGTGAGAAATGTGTCCAACATAAAAATTACGAATAAATTAAGCTGACGCTGAAGTCAGTCAAACTTGTTGATCCGTATTGTCAGTGGGAAATGTTTTGATTGACTGAAATCACGAGTAATTTTTTAACGAAATAATTTTTTAAACTTTAACAAATTAATCTGTAACCTTTGAAATTAACGAAATGCTGGTTTTCTACAAAAAAATTATATTTTTGATTTTAAAAATATTTGTTTTTAAAAATATTGGTGTAATTATATGGATTAACCTTTTTTTAAACAATATCAAGTTTTTAAATGAAAAAATATACAAATTACTGGTAAAAATTGTAGAATTAAAAAATGTATAAAAATTCCAAATGAAATTATTGTTATTTTTACCATTTTCATTCATAATACCACGTTGCAATGATGTAATATAAAGTTACGGACACGCTCCGTTGTGAGAATATATAATTTAGGCTATAATAAATTATTTTACACGTCATAAAATATTTTTGGAACAAAGCTCTTCTATAACATGTCTGGTGTTTTACTTTAGTATATTATAATTTTATTATATCACGGCTTTTTAAAATCATGTATAGGGTAAAGTGGGATAATATGACGTAGGTAGCGCCCTCTATAAGTGTGCCATAAGAAAATATTAATCGCCTCTTGCACGCTGGTAATTCATGATAGTGTCAACATGCTTAATGAAGGATATTCATTATATACTTTATAAGTAATGCTTGTGCTTTTACCTTCGAGTACCTGACTACTACATTTGATATTTAAATTTTATATGCATATTTCTATTCGGACATTTTACAGTGATATGAAGGAACGACGAGAATGAAAATTATGTATGAAAAGGCCTGCTTCCAAATGTAATCTAAAATTAACGTTTTAATAGAATTAATGTTGTCAAAGATCCTATCTAAATAATAATTTACATAGGAACCCTTAAAAACTTGCTACTACTGACACCATCAAAAACTTTCATGTTAAGTTTGTGTTTACATTTATCAGTGGTTTGATTAAAATTAATGTATTTACAGTAAAGGTAATGTATTCTAAACATTTTTAAAATGATTTTATTAAAATTTATAATTTGGGTTGTTAAAAAAATTAAAATGTTCTGCTTTAGGTTTTACGGGCGTTATATGTATTAATGGTTTTTCGGGATCTGCTCCGTGTTTTCGGTTTTTGGTTTACAAAAGAACCGTATGTCTGACGACGTTTCGGTACAATCTCATGTATCATCTTCAGGTCTTATCTGCTGGGCTACTGTTGCTGCGCTGCTGCGAGTTAGGCGTCTAACCGATTTACATTTTAGATGATTTTATTGGCCAAAAAGCAAATCTAGTAAACCATGACTTATATTAGCGAAATTATTTTCTATGGTTAAAAGCAAATGTCACAAATGTCAAATAAATCTTTATGACATTTTAATTGTTCTATCTAATTTAAAATGTCAATGTATAGAAATCGACTTTTTTAGGGAAAATATAAACGTTGAAAGATAATTAGCCAATTTATTTTATAAAACAACAGTTTTTTAAAGAAAATTACTACGTTGCCATGTCGTGCAAAACCTATACCCACTGATATACTAAATCAGTTGATATAAATAAATTAACGTTTCTGCATATATACGGCCCTAAATATTATTTTACAAAAAAATGCACTTTATTTTAACGATTGTATTACATTTTACAACTGTCAACTAACTTAAAACTAACTTCAGCCCGTGACTAAAAACCTGTTGCTCAATAAGTAAGTATGTTGAATTCTTTATTTTAAAAAAGTTTGACGCTACAATTATTATTTTTACTCTTTAAAATAATAATAAAGGCGAAAATAAAAAAGCAAACTTGATGGGCTTTAGTTTTTCAATATGTCTGACATAAAGCTGCTTAAATATTGAACTCCTTTAAATTGTATACGCCAATCCATCGCACAAATAAGAAATGTCAGATTAAATATACATCGTACTAAATAAAAAATGAACCGTAGGTATTTTATGCATAGGCTCATAAAATTCGTATTATAAATTTCTATTCCAACTTTTATAAGATGTTTCATATTACTTTTCCTACCATTCAAAAGATCATTTCATTTAAAAATGCAGGTACACGATACTAGGATATTTATAATACTCTATCAGCTATCCAGAAAAATGTATACAAATTTGCTTTTGTCCTGCTAAATTAAATACAATAGGGACTGAATTTAGAAGGGTAGATAGAATAGATTATGAAATTGTAATTTTAGCAACAGGCACATTTTTACCTTTTGGGCTGATAGTTTCGAAGAAAGTGGAAAATTTATAGTTTTTAAATATTTTTTTCGGACGAGGCTACCTTCTGTTTGAATGGTACAGTTAACTGTCAAAATTGTAGGTACTAAAATGTTTTAAAACATGAACTTTTAAATTTAATAATACCCAAAAGTATCATCTCAAAATATACATGTGGATATTGCTGAATTCAGAACTTCATGAAGTGCATAACCTATTTAAATATGCAAAAAAAACGGCCAATAAGGTCATAGCTTCTACAAAAATTGCAGCAAATATGAAAATTTTAGATTAAAATGTGCACAATTATAAATTTTTTGGCGAAAAAATGCACATTTTTTAATGAATTTGTTCCATACTTTTGCCCGTCACTGTATACACTATATATTTTATAGAAACATGATCTACAAATAAAATAGCAAAATATTAGGAAGGTAGGTAATAAAAAATAAAGTTTCGAAATGGCCTTACAATAGGAACATTTTGCTTACATATATTATATGGATTTAGATTATCAGTATCTTTTGAAA